ATAGGGGCTCTTATTGCACTCACTTTACAGATGAAGAAACTGAGACTTAAACACCATGCTCAGTGCTTCCTACTGCCCCTGTGAGGCTGGAACAGCCCCGTACCTCTCCCTAGTGGCTGCCCAGATGGCCCCAGTTGGGAGAATTTCTTCGTGGTGACTTCCTTCATGGGTCCCTTCGTTCTTGGGAATGCTTTGGAGCCTAAGTGGAAATGGGGTAGGCTGGGGGTGCACATAGAGAAATAGGAAGGCAGCAGGGAGAAGCTTGCAGTGAACTGGGTGCCTCCAATGTGGGCAGCATGAAGCCAGTGCCCTCCAGCCAGGCCACCACGGCCCACCAAATTCATCTCCTGAGGGTGGGAACAGTGAGGCAGGGCTGTCTCAACAGCTGTCTCTGCAGCCACCTCTTTAGAGATCAGCCCCAGCTGGGCCTGGGGTAACTCGATCTATAAGAATGTGACACTTGATTCTGCAAACATTCCCTTTGGGCCAGGAAGCAGAGACTGTTTGCCATTCCAGAATCACTCAGGACCTCCCGAGCCAGGCTGATTCAGGCAGGGACCCAGGACAATGCAGTCCAAACAAGAAGTGGAATGAGGCCTGCCCTTGAACTGGCCTTCTCACTCAGGGCTCCTTCACGCCGCTCACGCGAGCTGTCTAGGAGGTTCTTGGGATTGAGGATGCTACAGTTTGGAGGTGTGGCTCCTGGTGAGGAATCCCTTATAGAGTGATTCACAGCTGGGAAAAACAGAACAGAAAAACGCTTTTTCTAGACCCAACCATCTCCCAGGAAGGACCATGAGAGGACGTAAGGGAAGTCTGAGCTCAGTAAAAAAGACGGAGCCCCTGGGAGAAGAGTCTTCCTGCTGCTTCCAGCTCCCTGGCGTCGAATACAGTCAGTCTGTCCAGGCGCCTCCGTGAGATTCACTTGGAATACTCTGGATGGTTCTGCACATTCTTGTTTTGTGCTTTGGGCTGATGCTTCTGGGAACATCTGATGCTTCTGGCCAAGTTTGGTTCCCAGAGCCTCCACATCCTGCCTATCTTGTGCTCGTGCCTGACCATTTCCTCCCTGGTCCAGGGAGAAAGTGAAGGCTCCCACGCAACTTCTGGACCAGAAAGGGGCCAGCCTGGAAAATGATAGCCCCAGATGCCTCTGTTGGCCACTCTGCATCCCCCAGTGCCTTCCCTGGGTTTCCAGAGAGCTGCGGCCAGGTGCTGTTTCCACAGCTCTTCACAGCGTCATTTCCCGCATCTTCAGTGTCAGTTTGGCAGGACCTGGGTTTCCATCTTTATGCCATCTTCTGCCCTCCTGCAAGGCACTGCCTCCTAATCTGTGAGCCCCAAACATATCTGAACATTAGTACCCAAGAGACAGGCAGCCTGGCAGAGCTGCAAAGAACATGAGTTTTGAAGACCAGCTGCCTGGGTCAGCAACTCTACCACTCGCCAGCTCTGTGACTTTGGATAATCCTCACCCAAATTCACAGCTCCTCTGTGTATGTAATGGGAATAGGAATGGTGCATATTTTTCAAGCTTTTTTTTTTTTAGGGTGTTAGATACTATGTGTGAAGGGTTTAGGCAGGCCAAGCACATAGTAGGTGCTCAACAAATGGTAGCTATGAATTGGCTGTTAAGCTATCATGTTATACTGGAACAATTGGATATCCGTATGCAAAAAGATTTAGACCCCTTCCTCACACCGTATACAAAAAGTAACTCAAAATAGACCAGAGACCTAAAATATATCAGTAAATCTTTATGACCTTAGATTAGGTAATAATTTCATAGCTATGACACCAAAGGCACAAGCAACCAAAGAAAAAATAGACACATTGGGCTTAATCAAAGTTAAAAATTTTGTGCTTCAAAAAAATGTTTTTAATAAAAAGAGGCTGGGCATGGTGGCTCCTACCTATAACCCCAACACTTTGGGAGGCCAAGGCAGGAGGATCACTTGGGCCCAGGAGTTTGAGACTAGCCTGGGCAACATAGGGAGACCCCATCTTGAAGAAAAAATTTAGCTGGGTGTGATGGCACACACCTGTAGTCATAGCTACTTGGGAGGCCAAGGCGGGAGGATTGCTTGAGCCCAGGAGTTTGAGGCTGCAGTGAACTGTAATCACTTCAATGCACTACATCCTGGGCAACAGAGCAAGACACTGTTTATTAGGCTGTTCTTGCATTACAATAAAAAAAATACATGGCTGGGTGCAGTGACTCACGCTTGTAATCCCAGCACTTTGGGAGGCCAAGGAAGGCAGATCACCAGGTCAGGAGATTGAGACCATCCTGGCTAACATGGTGAAACCCCACCTCTACTAAAAATACAAAAAATAAGCCAAGTGTAGCACACACCCAGCTACAAAGAAGGCTGAGGCAGGAGAATCGCTTGAACCCAGGAAGCAGAGGTTGCAGTGAGTCAAGACGATGCCATTGCACTCCAGCCTGAGAGACCGAACGAGACTCAATCTCAAAAAAAAAAAAAAAAAAAAACCTGAGAGTAGGTAATTTATAAAGAGATTTAGTTGGCTCACAGTTCTGCAGGCTTTATGGAAAGCATGGTGCTGGCATCTGCTTGGTTTCTGAGGAGGCCTCAGGAAGCTTACAATCATAGTGGAAGGCAAAGGGGCAGCAGGCAGAGGAGGCCAGAGCAGGAGCAAGAAAGTGAGAGGGAGGTGCCCTACACTTTTAAACAGGCAGATCTCACGAGAACTTGCCGTCTCAGAGATAATACCAAGGGGATGGTGCTAACCCATTCATGAGAAATCCACTCCCATCATCCAGTAACCTCCCACCAGGTCCCACTTCCAACGCTGGGAATTAAATTTCAACATGAGATTTAGGTGGGGAGAAATATTCAAATTATAGTATCACCCTGTCTCAAAAAAAAAAAACATCAACAGAATGGGAGAAAATACCAGCTGATGAATGGACAAACAAAATATGGAATAGCCATAAGGTGGAATATTATTCAACCCTAAAAATGAATACAGAACTGATACATACTACAACATAGATGAACCTTGAAAATGTGCTGAGTGAAAGAAGCCACATACTGCCTAGTTCTATCTATAGGAAACATCCAGAATAGGCAAATCCATAGAGACAGAAGGTAGATGAGTGATTGCCGGGGGCCGATGAAGGTGAGAATGGTGAGTGCTAATCAGTATGGGGTTTCTTTTGGGGGTTGATAAAAATGTTCTGAAATTTGTGGTGATTGCCACACAACTTTGTGAATGTACTGAAAACTGCATTGCACACTTTAGAAGGGTGAACCTTACGGTATATAGATAATATCTCAATAAAGCTGTTTTCTTTTTAAAGATGTCCTGCCTCGGGCTGGGCGTGGTGGCTCACAACCTGTAATCCCAGCACTTTGGGAGGCCGAGTCGGGTTGTTCACCTGAGGTCAGGAGTTCAAGACCAGCCTGGCCAACATGGTGAAACCCTGCCTCTACTAAAAAAAAAAAAAAAAAAAATACAAAAATAGCTGGGCGTAGTGGCACATGCCTATAATCTCAGCACTCAAGAGGCTGGGTCAGGAAGATAGCTTGAACCCAGGAGGTGGAGGTTGCAGTGAGCCAAGATCACACCACTGCACTCCAGCCTGGGCAACAAAGCAAGATTCAGTCTCAAAAAAAAAAAAAAAAAAAGTCCTGCCTCAAGCAGAGTGAGTGAGGATTCTTTCCATCCCTTGGTAACTCTTTCACAGAACTGTGGAGGTTGACAAATATTAGAAGGGATGGGCCGGGCGCGGTGGCTCAAGCCTGTAATCCCAGCACTTTGGGAGGCCGAGACGGGCGGATCACGAGGTCAGGAGTTCGAGACCATCCTGGCTAACACGGTGAAACCCCGTCTCTACTAAAAAATACAAAAAACTAGCCGGGCGAGGTGGTGGGTGCCTGTAGTCCCGGCTACTCGGGAGGCTGAGGCAGGAGAATGGCGTAAAAACCCGGGAGGTGGAGCTTGCAGTGAGCTGAGATCCGGCCACTGCACTCCACCCTGGGCGACATAGCGAGACTCCGTCTCAAAAAAAAAAAAAAAAAAAAAAAAAAAAAAAAAAAAAAATTAGAAGGGATGTCCAGGGAAGACCCCAAGGGGCATACAGATACACTATCCCAGACCATCCAAGTATTCCATCAGCCCTTCCCTTGTCCCCTTGGTGCTGGGTACTTTATCAAGGGGCATGTGTGCAAGGGAGGGCTGGAAGTTACCTCCCTGTGTACCTCGGTGTGTTTTCTGCAGGGACACACATCAGAGACATTTGTGCTCCTGGTTAGAAAGCCACCTCAGGCTTTGAAAGCTTTCAGAGTTCTATCCTAAAAGAGCATCTTTGCCTGAGGATGAGGAAGAAAGAGCTTTTGATTTCAAAAGTGAAACTTAAAACACTTTGTAACGTTTGTCAGTGTTTGCTGTCTGTAATCGAGTGGGTGTGTACATCATTTCTTTTTCTCAGGTAATATTAGGGAAGGAGCTTGGCTTTTGCCTCTTGTGGGTCCACCAGTTTTGTTGACCATTGAGCCACGATGACTGACCCATTGACACAAGCACCTTACCCGTTTCTTCTCTTCGACTTCTTGTTTGTCCTTAACGGCCCAAATAGATCCCGAGTGTATTTCATTTACTGGGATAATGAGTAGAGTTTGTTTTTTAAAAAAATTCATAGCACCTAGCAGGGTCTTACATGCATGAGATGTTCACTAAGTGGTTTGGGCTTGGGTTAAGGGGTGGACAGTAATGGGATTTTTTTTTTTTTCAAGTTACGAGTAGGACTTTAACTAATGGGCATTTTTGCAATAAGCCAAGTTGTATTTGCTTGTGCAGACTTGCCTTTTTCTCTGTTGCTCCATGGCTCTTGATTAGAGATTTTCCCTCATCTTGTTATAACACCCCACACACACACTTGTTTGGCATTTATAGTTGTTTATATTCAGTGTGGATCTCATCACCCTGTGGACACATGATCAGAATAAATGCTGCTTCTGTCCCTTTCTCTACAGGTACCAAAGGCTTAGAATGTTCTCCTTCCACTCCCACCATGAATTCCTACTTTTATAAGTTCATGATCAACCTTCTCAAGAGATTCAGCAGCGAACGGAAGCTCCTGGAGGTCAGAGGCCCTTTCATCATCAGGTCAGCCTTGGTGGCGCGCTTTCTCCTCTTCCTCCCACGGCCCCGGCTTTTCACTTTCATGCCGTTCAAGTGTCAAAGCAGCCACCTTGTCTTTCCCTTCTCTCTCTTCCTTTTCCTGACCTTTGGATCTGTTCTTAAAAGAAATGAAGAAGGTTGCCCCTTCATACTGGTTGCTGATGCTTCTGACATGAAACAGACAGGTCAGTGTTGATGTTTTTCCACAAAACTGAATTCATTTTTTCCTTCCTGAGTTACTGTCTTCCCCTGAGGTGGAATGGCCTCTTATTCAATGCCATTGTCAGGCTTTTGGAGAGGAAAGGAGGTGAGCCAGATGGCGTGAGACATGGGGCTGTGCTCCAGGCCCAGCCCCCAGTGCGGGATTTAGCCAGGCTTGGTGGAGCCAGGCTTCTGAGTCATGTGAACCCAGACCAGGATGGTGCCAGGGCAGCAGCCCCAGTGGCTGGAGGCGTCTAAAACTGTCATCACCAGCAGCATGGCTGGGGCTGGTCTTTTGCCTCCAACTCAGCTCCAAGAAGTAGGGTCACCAGAAGCGCGGCCCAGTGTCACCCTCAGCCTGGTGAAAGCTAGAGCAGGGCACAAATTCCTCCAGCTTCTACACCAAAGCCAAGTGGAGGAGATTTCTGGAGTAGTCCAAATGGCCCTAGGTGCTGTTCAGCCGTGGTTCCCAGCCCTGTATGTTAGATCACTGGAGAGGCTTTTTTAAAAAAGATGCCTTATACAAAAATTAGCTGGGTATGGTGGTGCACACCTGTAATCCCAGCTACTTGGGAGGCTGAGACACACGAATCGCCTGAACCCGGGAGGTGGACGTTGCAGTGAGCCGAGATCACACCACTGCACTGCAGCCTGGGCGAAAGAGCAAGACTCTCATCTTTAAAAAAAAAAAAAAAAAAAAAATTAGCCTGGGCCTCCCTCTGATGAGTAAAATCGGAACTCCTAGGGTGATGGAGTTATTAAAGTGGTCTGGGGTGCTTGGGGACTGAGTAGACTACCGATTACCATGGTCTGGGGGTCAGGAGTTGAAGGAGTCCTGGCAGGGGCCCAGGCTGTATGGGGCTTCAAGGCAGGAAAGAGCCTGGGGAGCTCATCTTGCTGTAAACTAAAAAGCAGGTTCAGCCTGTGGGCCACAGTGAGGATCGGAGACCTTACTCACGGGTCAGCACGGAGCCACTGAAAGGGCTTGAGCAGGGGATCAATGTGACCGGATTTCTGGCTTGAAAGACAACTGTTGCTGGGGCGAATGGGTTGGAGGGGCTGAGGTGGAGCCAGCTGGAAGGCTGTTGTCCAAGCAGAGACTGTGGCAGCTTGTGAGGGGGATGGGAATCTGCAGCCAGATTGGAGAATGAGGATTCAATACTGAGTAGGAAGTAGATTTGTCTGGTGACTGATGTGGAAAAAGTGAGGGGAGAGGGAGCTGGGAGTGCCAGGGTGTCCAGGCCTCTGATTTGGGGCAGCTGGGTGGATGGTGATGCCAGTCCCTGAGGTGGGAGGCCCAGAAGAGTGGCAAGGAGTGAGAAGGGGGTGCATGTTTGAGTTTGAATTACTTTGGGGACACCAAAAGGAAGGTGTTGAAGAAGTAGTTTGCTGTACCAGGCTCTCCAAGGGGATACCGAGGCCCAAGATACAATCTCGAAATTGATGGTATAGTCATTCATTCATTCATTCAGCAGATGTTACTCTGTGCAAGGTACCTTTCTAGATGGTTCTGCACTTGCGGAGCTTTCATTCTTAGGGAGTTAGAAGAGGTGGAATGAGAGGGCAGGGGTCTGAGGCTGAACCCTAAGTGTTCCAGACTGTAATGGTTGGGGAAAGAAGGAGAAGCCAGAAAAGGAGACTATGACGAAGGGCCAGAGAGGTAAAGGAAGCAGCCAAGCAGGGAGATGGCAGAAGGCAGTGTGGGAGGTGAGACCCAGGGATGGTGTGCTGGGAGCCGCTGCAGGAGCCTGAATGCTGCTGGGGGAGCTGACGGAGTGGAGCGTACAGGAGGTGACCGGCCAGCTCAGGAGCTGAGGTGGAGTTGCGGGCACCCTGGGGATGGGGCCGGAGGATTGAGTCATGGGAGAGGACAGGCCTGCCTGACCAGAAAGACAAACAGCAGGATCACGGTGCAGGGGCAGGGGCTTCTGATGGTCTGGCCACCAAAAGGATGCCCCTGTGGTAGTGGGGAGGCTGTCACCACCCTCTTGCTTCTCTGGCCTCCTCTAGAGCAGGGCTTCTCAAACAGCGCCGTTGGCATTGGAGCCAGATAACTCTTCGGGATGGCGGCTGTCCTGTGCCCTGTAGGATGTCAGCAGCATCCCAGGCCTCTGCCCCCTGGATGCCGGTAGTGCTTGCATTCACCCAGTTGGAACCATCTGAAACATCTCTAAACATTGCCAAAGGTCCCCTAGGGAGAAGAATCACCCCAGTTGAGAACCACCGTGTCAGAGAGACAGAAATGGATTCTTAACTTTCATTGGCCGAAAGAGGAAGGTTTCCATGGTGTTTCTTCCCATCACGTTGGCCAGTTTCAGGTAGGGGATTGAGGTAGAGGTTAGCTGTGGTACAAGAGGCCCCCCCACCAGGAAAGCAGCGGAATGTTCCCACAAGAGTGACAGTTAACATCATGTGGTTTTCCAATTGCAGAGGCACCAGTACTCATGATGAGCTCTCCTTGCCTGGACGACTTTCAGAGTCAGTGGAAGGAGAGGCCTTTGGAGGAGGAATTTGTAGCTAGCGTCCCTCTGGAGAACTGGGCTGAAATGGGTTTTCCACCCTGTCTCAGCCCCACATGCCCAGTCAGAGGCATGGGGAGAAGGAGTTTGGGGTAGTAACCAGCATCTCCAGGCTGCACGGAGCAGAAGGGCAGGCACCATGGGCATGCTTGCATGCCCTCCCCACCTGCTCGGGACCCGAGGCTCTGTGAAACTGGAGGCCAGCCCGCCGCCATGTTCCCAGGTACAGACTCCAGGCCAGGGAGGCTTTGCTTGCTTTGCAGTGCATCTCCTGGGCTTCCTGGGGTCACAGGAATCATCATTTTGCAGAAGGGATAATGAGAGGAAGTAATGTGCCCCCAGGCTGGGCAAGAGCTGGGCTGCAAACTGCTGCACTCTGCTAATTCAGCAGCCTCCACTTTGTGGGAGTGCAGAGCCTGGTGCCGTGAGAGGCCCTGAACATCCTACATGCTAGGACCACCTGAGGCGCAGCTCCTCAGAGTGCTCAGGAGCTGGGCCAGTGGGTCCTCCCTTCCCATCCTTCAGGGGCTCAGTATGGCGATCGCTTGCTCTTCTGGGGCTCAAACCTGTCATGGGCCACACTGGGTTCTCTGTGGAAATGGAGGCTGGCCTCCAGGCCTGACTCCTACCCGCACAGCCACAGAAGGTCTCGTAGCCATTGGCATCCACACTAGAAGCCCAGTGGGCTGGGACAGAAGGAACCTTGTGACTGGTCCCCTCACAGAGGACTGGGTCTCTCCTAGTCCTTCACCTGGTTTCTCCAGACTGCTCTCCCCCAGAAGTAGCACCCACACCTATCAGTGTGCATCCTGGTAGACAGCCACCTGGCCCAGCTGACTCGGGAGCCTGCTGCCCACTCTGCCAGCACACCAGGCCATTGTCGACCAGCCCCTGGGTTGCAGGCGCAGCAACCCAGTCTGGGCACACACATGGCATCTGACATGGAGAAGGCCCTGCAAACATGGGGCTTCCTCCATCCTCCCCATGCTTCTGTGGGGGGCTGAGGCCCTTCCAAAGAGCTTTGTTGAGGTGGGGGGTATCCACCTGCCCTCCTGCTTGTCCGTCGCACTTCCTTTTCTCCTGTGATGGCTTTAAAGAGGGACATCATTGGCTGGGTGCGGTGGCTCATGCCTGTAATCCCAGCACTTTGGGAGGCCAAGGTGTGCAGATTTCGAGGTCAGGGGTTTGAGACCAGCCTGGCCAACATAGTGAAACCCTGTCACTACTAAAAATACAAAAATTAGCTGGGCATGGTGGCACATGCCTGTAATCCCAGCTACTCGGGAGGCTGAGGCAGAAGGATCGCTTGAACCCAGGAGGCAGAGGTTGCAGTGAGCCGAGATCATACCACTGCACTGCAGCCTGGGTGACAGAGCAAGACTCTGTCTCAAAAAAATAAATAAAAATTAAAAAATAAAGAGAGGTATCCCGATGGTTCCGCAGATGCTGGCATGAAGCCACAGACCTGATGAGGCGCACAATGATTTCTTAACCCCCTCTTTAGCTGTTAGGCAAACTCTAAGTTCTTCTTCTTAGCCTCCAGGATTGCACACTGAGAAAGAAAGGAAAGAGATTCTTCTGGCCAGCAAGTGAAAAGCCGTTCTTTTGGCAGGAGTGTGTTTAGCTCTGGGCCCTGGAGCGGCTGCTATAGAAAGACAGAGGCATGGGGAATTCTTGAAGACACACATCTGCTGGCGGTTCTTGGCATTGAGGAAGATGCATGATTTCCCCAAAGACCCTGGGAGCGTTTCCTCTTCCCCAGGCAGCTTTCCCAGGCCGCACCTCCATGTCAGAGTTGGGGGTGAGAACAGGGTACCCAAGCTCCAGCCAGGCTTGAGTGGGTTGGACTTCCTCTCGGTGTCCACACAGGCTCCTTTTCTGGTGGACATAACAGTTTAGATGCATGTTGAGGTGAAGTCAGTGGCTTTAAAACCTTCATCTTTCAGCTGGCTACTCTGGCCCCAGGCCCTTCGCTTAGCTGATGCCAAGCTCATAGATTGAGGGAAGATGGGGACATGTGCGGTGGGGTGCTGTACCCCACTCCCTCCACAGGACTAAGGCAGATGAGCCTCCTGAGGCACTCGTTTGGGGCTCAAACCCCAATTCCTCCCATTTTTAACCGTGTGACCTGTTTCCAGGCCCTTTCCGCTTTGTCTGTGACACAGCGATGATGGTGCTGGCCGTGTCACAGTGTAGTGGGGTTATGTAAATGGCGCATGTGTCAGCCCCAGTGCTGGTGGCTGTGTCTGATAAAGCGGGGCTGTT